TAAACTAATAATTTTTCGGGTAAAATGTTTTTAGTGCTTCTGGCTAGATTTTTTGAGGAAAATTTATGAGCATGTTATCTATTAGTGTATATAATGTTCACAAAATCTCAGTTTAAAATTCAATCTAGAAGTCAATTAAATAAATTATTCAAAAACATTGCATTTTTTATGCATATTTTGGCGCAATGTATTTCAATAATTTATTTAACAGACTTCTCAATTGAAATTTAAGTTGAAATTTTGTGAATATTAATCTAAACTTGATGAAAAACTTGCTCACAAACTTTCATAAAAAAATTACACTTCGAAGAAAATTAATCTGATGTGATTATTTGATTAATTTAGTCACTAATTTAATTCATAATTGATTGTTTGATTTTTTAATTGGTGATGGTTATCTATTGACTGTCGGTGTTATATTTTTTTGGTTTCTTAGAAAAAAAATTCTATTATTATGCAGTATTAAATTTATAAATTTAATTTATTTCAAGGTGTAATTAAAAATTAGTGATATGAATAGAATAAAGTAAAAAGAGGAGAAAATTAGAAAAAACGACACTAAGTAATTAAAAAAAGTTTGTTTATTTGAAGAAGTCAAATTGTGAATGCCCTTCTAAAGATGACAACTTAGAGAAGAGAATGATTTAGCTACCAAAAAATGATTCAGAATGATCACATCATTGAAGGGGAATGCAGGAATTGAAAATAATAGAGTTAATTTCTAAAATAAGACTAAGAGCCCGTTTGGTAGCACCAAAATCGGCTGTTTTGGCTGATTCTGCTGAAATTTATGATATTCTGGCTGGAGTGGCTGTTTTGGCTGATTCTGCTGATTTAAGAAAAAAATATTTTAAAAATATATTTTATTAATAAATTAAAGAAAAAATTATATGTAAAAATAGCTAAAATGGTCCTCTACAGTAACTTCAGCCAATACAGCCAGAAAAGTAACTCCAACCTTACTTTTTCGGCTTATTACACAATTCAGCGCGCGAAAGTAAAAGTTACGTGTTTGGTGAAAAAGCTGGCTGATAAGCCTGATAAGCCGAAAACAGAGTTCTCCAAACGGGCTCTAAAACATTGATAAAGTGTACAAATAAGACTATCAATACTACGGAGTATAATATTTTTGTTTTAGACATAAGATGGTCTTACAACTTTTTGTAAATGTTTTGAAATATTATTATTGTTATGCATGTTAGTTTAGAGAAAAAAAAGTTTTAGATTTTTTTTAAAATTGGGCCCGTTTTAATGTTTCGCCCCTAGGCCCTCAAACATACCGGGCCGCCCCTGGAAATCATCAATGGATATGCTATATTGCTATCCTGAAAGAAGATTTAATAAAACTTGTTTATTAATTGCCTAGAAGGAAGATTTAGTAAAACACCGTTTATTTAATACTATAATATGTGAACTAAATTGTCCTTAATAGTTAATATACATGTTTATCTATTTTCCATGTGACATGTCACTTTGCTTCGTTTTAGTAGTCTGAATTATGTATTTCGCAACAAAGCAAAAATATTTTAGACTATTATCATGTGTATGCTTGTATGATTGTCTCACGTATTATGTTAATGAGACAAACCAAATAGTACAGACCCGGAAATGTACGTACATCAAATAGTGCACCCTGTGCACGTACCAAAGGTTATTAGAAGAAAGAATTTAACTTTTGTATCCTATTTTTTGAGGATACTAAATTTGAACTTCATTTTCAAAATCACTAATGTGTGCGTTTTATTTGCCCAAAAATTGTGAAGGATTAGGATGCGAAATGAAATGATTTTATAGCGAATTGGAGTGCCTAATTTTGAAAATATGATTTAAAGTCAAATTTTATTAAAAAGTGAGATGCAAAATCAAATTCTCTCTTATCAGAAACTAATAATTAATATGTGAATTTGGAAATTAACTTGTGTTAACAAAAGAGTTTAAAAGGGGGAAGTTACCCTAGATAAGTAAATAGGGCTAAAAATATATGTATATTTCAAAATAGAACTATCATATTTTTATTTCCAAAATAAGACTAATTGCTGACATGTTGTGCCGGTACCAAAATTTAAACATGGCAGTGATGGAGTATACGGCCCAGGGACCCCCGGCCCACAGACTTCTACTACTCCAACACAGGCTCAACAGACCCAGGAAGCACATGAGGCCCAAAGCACCGCGGCCCAAGCTCAAAGGAACCCACAATGCGCCTGGGAATGCCTTCGGCACCATGGCCGAAGGCCCCAAACTCCAGGAAACAACTGATTTTAGGCATACAAAGCTACTGGGAGAAGACGACGGAAATCAAGAGCTTTCGGCTCATAGACGTCCTCGGCATAAGGGTAGCCTTCGGCTACACAGAGCCTTCAACCACAGGGGAGCCTTCAGCTACAGCGCAATCATCGAAGATTCCCTTTGGGGACAGACAACTACCACATTTAATGTGGCGTCACATGCACCCTCCGCATTTAATGCGATGCACATGCGAATGCCGGTGCCACCCTAATTGAGGTGACCTCTCGACCGTTAGATTGTTGACACATGTACCCTCTTGTAAAGGATCGATCCCGGGTCAAAATTCATTAATATGTCTGACTCTCTCTCTCTTACTTGTTTGCTTTGACTTCTCTCTAGTTATTCTCCGCAATAACCCTTCGGATAAGCTATCCCTGGGTACACTATCCATCAGACAGTATTTTTGAAACTTAGCATTAATTATTCATATTTTAGGAATAATAAAAACATGTCATTTCTATTTTGGAATTTTCAATCTTTTTTCTTCTATTTTGGGAATTTTCCTTTTAAAAGGGGAGAAGTCCTCAAATAGGACCAAAACACAGGTTTTTTCAAAAATATGACCAACTAGTTTAAAATACGTTAAATATGACTATATGTGTAAATATTTATATACAATATAAAAATATAGTGAAATTTTAAACTTTGATTCCCTAAACATAAATTCTGTAACTCTGTAAGCGTGTGTCCAAACTTGTCATTTTTGTCTTACTGTGAGAGAGTTACAGTGATTTCATTCGAGGGCGACATTTTTGTTCACCCAAATCAAATATCATATCACCCATAAAGGTGAGAAGAAAAATAAAATAAACAAATAAAGGTGAGAAGAACGTTAGTGTGTTAATGTAATGAAACGCTTTGAAGATAAGGACTTAGACAGAATCCGGGGTGCCCACCCACATGCATTATTATTACAAAAATAGAGGCACCGAATGGATTCAAAAGGCACCGAAATAAAAGCTAAAGAAAGAAGATCGATTTCATCACCAAAGCAAAGCAAAGCAAAGCGATGCTCGTATGTTTCGGCTCAATTATTTTTTATACATTGTGCTGCCAACACACCCATGCCCCCCTCCACCCCCACCCATTCAACATTTGCACTATTTTCTTTTACCGATTGCGTTACTTCTACCCGCCGGGTTACATGTCAATTTAACCCAAATGTAATTGTTTGTGTATAGATAGTTGATTTTAATTTTAATAAAGAGACTTAGGGAAGTACCTGTAATCTCGAATCGTATATGCACAGACAATTCATTTTTTAGTGTCATAAATGATTCATTTTTTGAGATCACAACACTTCCATTTACTAAAATTAAAATGACTTGTCCACGCACTCACAATTACATATGGACATGTAAATCCGCCTATAACCTATCGTATAAACAGCTTCTCCCTTTGCTCATTATAATTTTACTCTTTTTCCTTTCTTTGTTGTTTAATTTTTTTATTATCACTTTCTCTTTTAGTTAATTGTTTTGTACACTACGTATCTCAAAAGGTGGTTCTAGTAGAACTTTTCTATGAAATTTTAGGAATACGTTCTTTGTAAATCGCCGAGGCTTCCTTGTTCTACACGAATTTCAATCACACAAATTTTACTTATTATTTTTCGTGTCCATAAAATTTGACAAAATTATAAGAGAGTGTGTGAGGGCGCCCTCACCATCTACAAAGATTTACCCGTATAGGAGCATCATCATTTGAGAAAATCTTAGGGCCTGTTTACTAACAGAGATATTTTTCCGGTTTTCTATTTCTTTTTTCCAATCTCATATTTTTTGCTTTCATTTTCCTTTTTTTCTATCTCCAATTTTCTGTTTTCATTTTTTAGTTTTCCATTTTCAAATCTGAAAAACATGTTCATCAAACTTTTTCACCCGGTTTTGTAACCAACCAGAAAACCGAAAGTATGGTACCAGTCCGGAACCGAACCTAGTACAACCCAAGTGAAGTACCAGATCCCACGTATAGAAAAGTCGGGATCGAAATCAGTTGGGCCTGATCGATCTAAACGATTAGTTTGATGAATTCTTTTCTCATTTCCTTAATTGTTGACAATTCAATGACTCTTTTAAAACTCTTTATTTTAAAAAAGATTTCAAAAAATCGAGACCAAACCACCAGGTCATTGATCGGCGCAAATAGGGACTGTCGGGTCATTGACGGGACTAGCCTGGGATCGATCGGTTGTCGATCACACCAAACATAGACCGTCGGGTCATTGGCCGGACAAGATAGGGACCACCGGGTCGTTGATCGGACAAGACGAGACTACTGGTGGTTGTCCGAACAGAACGCAGACCGCCGAGTAGTTGACCAGACCAGACATGGGCTGTCGAATCATTGACCAGACCATATCGGCTTGGGACTGCCCGACCGTCGACCGGACCGAAGAGGGACCGTCGGGACATCGATTGGACCCGACAGGGACCGCCATGTCTTGGACCCAGAAAAACTGAAAATTATCTTTGTTGTAGACAGGCACTTTAGTGACTACATAAGTGAAAATGGATCCATTTCAACTACCCCTATTCTTGAACACCATTTTATTTTGGGTATTAAAATTTAGTCGGCATTTATGTGCGCATCAGATATATGTCTCTTTCGTGTATATCCGTAGCATATAAATATTTTTTTAATATTGGTGTAGGTGTGTTGACCAACTTGACCTTAATTGTGTGTCGATAACTCTCACACACACCGATAGATATATACATACATTTTCGTATAAGTTGCAATAATGTACGTAGTATATATACAGCAGCCCCGAGGCCGGAATTGAATACACACTTCTCTCCTCATTTCACTCCGATCCGCCATGGCAGTTATCAAAGCTCTCCACACCACTTTTGGAGTTTTTGGTAGAGAAGAAGCTGCAGATTCCTTCATTATTCTTTCATCATTTCTTAAACATTATTTCTGTATATATCGTGATTAAAAGTTGCAATAATAGTCGATCTCTGTTTCTGGAACAGGGAACATAACTGGCTTGTTTTTGTTCTTGGCACCAATGTGAGAGCTGAGCGCTAGCTACAGATTATTATTAATTGCTCCCTGCTCTTCTTAATTACATTGATAATTAATTTATGCCAGCTGGATATTGTTTTTTCCCCCTCTTGAAATCGTTATTAATTCTTCATTTCTGGTGAATTGATCTTAATTAACTAGGATTACTTTCAAGAGGGTGATAAAGAAGGGCTCAACTGAGGAGTTTTCAGGGATACCATATGTTATGACGCTGCTTAATTGCTTGCTCTCTGCCTGGTCAGTCCAAGTCCATCCCTTTCATTCATTTAACGTACACAGTTGGAGTCATTATTGAAACTATAATTATGGTTTTATTACAAAAAAAAACCAATAGCTAGAGAGTGCCATAAGGTGGACATAGCTCAACTGGTAACGTGAGAGTGCCACAAGGTTAGGTCCCGAATTCGACTCCCGAGACTTTGCAAGTACGGGAGACGGAGCCCCACTCTCTATCTGTCAGATTGTGATTATAGTTCAATTTATTCTCAGGAATGAGTTACTCTCAGGAATGAGTGTTATTTTTTTCCTTTTTTTTTAAATTCTGGTTTTGTAATTATGTATCACAAATCTTTCTGTCCGACAGCCTCCCGCAACCTCAATTTAAGGTGATTAGGTAGAATTTTTTAATAAATTTTATGACCATTTTCTTCTCGAAGTAATACGTATAAATTATACAACTAAATTTTAACCAAAAATTCAATCAGAGAGTCAATTAAATAAATCTTTGAAAATAATTGTACCATTATATATTTATAATATACTTCGTGTATATATATATAGAGAAATATTCAGGTCAGGTATACCTGACCACTGCCCCCGTCCGGCCTCCTCCATTTGGGGGTCTTCCCGATGGTATTTTTTACTCAAATTTTTTGTGTAGGTTCCTCATTAAGTCTAGTTCATCCATACCAAATTTCAGCCAAAAATTCAATCGGGAAGGTCGTCAAATGATTTTTGCAAGTTAACTGGTCCGGAATATGTATTTTCCGGACCAGTTAACTTGCAAAAATCATTTGACGACCTTCCCGATTGAATTTTTGGCTGAAATTTGGTATGGATGAACTAGACTTGATGAGGAACATACACAAAAAATTTGAGCAAAAAATACCACCGGGAAGGCCCCCAAAAGGAGGAGGCCGGACGGCGGCTCCGGTCAGGTATACCTGACCGGAAGATTACTCTATATCTATATATATATATATATATATATATATATATATATATATAACGCAATTACTTTCAAAAAATTATTTAAGTGATACCCCCATATTGAGTTTTTGGTTGAGATTTAGCGGACATAACTTGTGTTTCATCACGAATACCACCGGAATCCTCAAATTGAGGTGGCTGGACTGGGATCAAATGACTAATCAATACTACATTCTAGTAGTTAACCATATTCAAACATTTAGTTATTTGACTTATTTGTGACCTTTTCCCCCCATATTCTCTTTCTCATTTCTTACGGAGGAGTATTTTTTTCTCACTTTTCTCCTTTTCTGTTCTAATTTTTTCGGCTACAACTTATCTTATGAAAAACTTAGATCATTTCCAATACAACTTAGACACATAAAAATAAAGCAATGACATTTTTCTTTTTGTTTTTACATGACTTTATATGTTTTGAATTTTTGTTTCAATATTTAGATGTTGTACTTGACATTATGCAAGAAAATTTATCAAAAACATATAAGGCGGCCTTTCAGATAAGAGGGAAAATATTATATTCACTCCCATGAATGCACCTGTATAAATTTATAAATAAAACATTTAGGAGTGTTTAAATGTACTTTTCGTATTTGTTTTAGTCCCTCGGAGAATAAAATTAAATATTACGTAGTAGTGTTTAGAAAAAGTCCAAAACATACTTCAAAGTATTCGAAATTGCTTTTCGAATACATTTTTTAGAAGCGAAATGAGTTCTAAACACCTCCTTATATATGAAAATATGAATATTGGAATATAAGGCAAATAATTAAACAAAATTCTAACACCTCCTTATATATGTCAAATTGTAACGAATGGATAGGCATTTGAGTGGATTGGCTTACTCAGCCTAACATCAATTTCCATAAAAATAAAATCTGTGGTCACAAGGGGACAGACACAAAACGTTGAAACGAAGAAGGTTGCCAGTTGAATTTAAATCTCAACCTCATTAATGCAATTCATCAGTCTTCTATATGTCCAAAGAAGACTTATCCGTACAAACAAAAAACCGTTTTTTTTTCCTATGCACTTTTATCTCCTCTCCTACTCTTCGCAATAAAAAAAAACCCTTTCCAACCTTGTTCTTTCTCAAGTATTTCTTTTTGCATCCAAATTAGGCTCTAGTAAAATGAGGAGAATTTTCCTAAAGTATCTCCTTTGTTTATTAGGAGTAGAATTGAACCTTTAAGTAAAAGAAAAGCTATATAAAGTAAGTGCAATTGAAAAAAGACACTATATATCTCTTGAGTCTTCTTCCATCAATGATTCAATTCACAAGCGACAGACACCAACTCTCACAGTTGTCTAGAACCCAACAAAACATCACAAACTTTAGGAAAACTTTATATCCCTTCTATGCCCTCACACGGCTCTCTGACTTTAACTCGTGGGTGGTCAATCTTGTCGTTGTCACTTTGTTTGGCTGTAAATGCCTTACTCTATGGAAAATTGGAAAAAGGAAAAGTGGAATAGAAAACCGGAAAATTCCGTTTACCAAATCATTTTCCAAAATAAAAAATGAGACATGTCTCTATTTTTCTTAATGAATTTGAAAAATGACTTTTACTAGTTTTCCAAATTTGGAAAACACAGATGTTGCAGTTCATCTAGTTTTGCTGAAAAGTGGAAAATTGGAAAAAGGAAAACATGTTTACTAAAAAAAATTACTGCAAAACTGGAGAACAGAGAACGGAAAATTTCGTTTACCAAATCATTTTCCAAACTAAAAAATGAGACATGTCTCTATTTTTCTTAATGAATTTGATAAATGACTTTTACTAGTTTTCCAAATTTGGAAAACGCAGATGCTGCAGTGTCGCTATAATGAATATGCGTACTTACGCCTAGTGTTGGATCTGATGCCGCTCCGGTGCCAGTTCCATTCCGGTCCGGTCCGGTCAACAACCCAACGGTCCCTATCTGGTCCGGTCAACGACCCAGTGGTTCGCTCCGGTCTTTGATCCGGCGGTCCATGTCCGATCTGGTTGACGGTCGGGCAATCTCGGTCCAATCCGGCTGATGACCGTCCCAGTCCGGTCGACGACCCGGTGGTTCTTGTTCAGTCCGGTCCATGACCCAACGGTCCCTGTCCAGTCCTCGAATCGGCGGCCCTTGTTCGGTCCGGTCCACAACCCGACGGTAGGGCTGGACTCGGGCCGGTTCGGGCCCGGCCGGGCCTCGGTCCAAAAAACTGGGGCCCGAGCCCGAACCGCTGGTGGCCGGTTCTGGTTCCAACCGGTCTTTTTTTTTTGGTTCTCCTATTTAACCCCCTACCCCTCCCCCTCAACCCCAAACCACCTCAAATGGCCCAAAATACCTAATCCAATCCAAAACTTAAAAAAATTTCAAAACAAAAAAATAATAATTAAAATCCGGCCCGGACCGGGCCCGAACCGGCCGGGCCGGTTCACACAAAGCAGGGCCCGAGCCCGGACCGCCCATCACCCGGGCCGGGCCAAACTGAACCGATGGACCCACCAGGCCCCGGGCCGGGCCGGGCCAAACAGTAACCGGGCCGGTTCCGGGTCGGGCCGCCCGGCCCGAGTCCACCCCTACCCGGCGGTCCCTTTCCGGTCCGTTTGATGACCCGACGGTTCAGTCTCGGTTTTTTTGAAATCATTTTTAAGTGAAATTTTAAAAGAGCTGTTGAGTTGTCAACGTACCAATAGTGAAATTAAATGGGTAAAGAGTTCATCAAACTAAATGTTGAGATCGACCGGAACCGGCCGGTTTCAATCCTGACTTTCCTATACGTGGACCCAGTACCCTACTTGGGTTGTACTAGGTTCGATTCCGGACCGGGACCGTACTTTCGATCTTGTGGTCGGTTTTTCAGATTTGAAAATGGAAAACTAAAATATTTAAAACAAAAATTGGAGATAGAAAAAATGAAAACAAAAAATTGGAGAATGGAAAATAGAAATAAAAATTGAAAATATTTATTTTAGCCGGCCCTTTATATTCCTTCTATGCGCTCACACGGCTCTCCGACTTTAACTCGTGTTACTTTGTTTGGCTGTAAATGTGTTGCTCTCTCCCTCGTCGGCAGTCCATCTGGTTTTGAATTAGCAAACAGACAGTAAAGTGGAAAAAGTTTGTATTGAAAAAGTGCCTACGTGAAGATCTTATTTTCTCACTTATTAATTATACAATCAACTTTTTATCCAAGCTGTGTAACCGTCATTTCAACAAGAAATATGAGCTAAACTTTAGTTATTTTGATTATTATATGATTCAAGGGGCGAAATAAAAAATAAATTAATGTAGTAAATTCAGACAGAATTTCATAAATTTCAGTATAACCAGTGAATTCAACCTATTACAATGTTACCAAATGGGTTTGAAAAAAATAACACCGAGTATAAACCACTTAAAAGCGGGTTTGTACTTAAGCCCGTTTGATAACATTAATATTGAATCAATCGAATGATTTTATTGAAATTGATGAAACTCTTAGTGAAATGATTGAACCTATTGAAGTGTTGGAAAATAACATTTAAAATACATTTTAATTGTAAAATACATAAAAAATATTATAGGAAAATATAGCTAAGTAGACGTCTTAAGTAATTTCAATCAATTCAATTAAATAACTTCACTTGTATTTTTGTACCATCACAATGAGTAGTAATTATATGAATCTAAAATCTCATGTTGGTTTGGGTTGTGCTGAACGGGAAGGGGCGATGTTAGGCTCTGACACGCTCCAAATTTAAAAAATCTGTGAGGATTACGGTATTATATACAAGTAACTTTTTTTGACAAATTTATTCAAATCAGATTTAAAAAATGTGTGAGGATTGTTAGACGTGATGAATTAACCGTGGGCAATTTAAAAAAAAATGGAAGGTACGGACTGCCGTTTATATCCCCAAACAACATTCTGGTGTCAATCATCAATGGAACAGGCGCGGGGCTGGAGGCAGTGTATGTGCTCGTTTTCCTCTTCTTTGCACCGAAAAAGGAGAAGGCCAAAATCTCAGGGCTATTGGCCGTGGTGCTCACCATCTTCTCCACAGTGGCGTTGGTGTCTGTGCTTGCCCTTCACCACAATGCCAGGAAACTCTTGTGTGGTTTTGCTGCTGCGATCTTCTCCATCATTATGTACGGCTCACCCTTGTCCATCATGGTACGCTACATTCCTATTCTTTTTCAAAATTTATGTTTGTACCGTCATGTACACTTTAAATTGTCTGTGCACAAACAAGTTGATTCGGTTTTTGAGTCATATTGCTTGTGTATCGACAACAATTGGAAAGTAACTAAATTTGTCTATAACACAAAATTTGGGTGTGTACATGAAACAACCTCATTACTCTGTACTACGTATTATTTTTAAATAGGAATAGTTATTGTCGAGTTTGAAAAATAATGTCATTAATAAAATCCAAATATGTGAATACATGAAAGTATTTACTCCTGGTTAAAGCAATTTTTTAAAACTAATGTGCGTATCTCATTGGTGGAAAAGTTTGAAGGAGTGAGTCGTGATTAACTTTTTGTAAAACATGTGATGTACACTTTCATTTAAAATAGTGTGCAAAGTTAAGCTTTCTTCAAAGGGCCATTCTTGGTTTACATAAAATGTGCATACACATTATACATTGTTTGTGTACACATAGTACATTTTAGCGTAATACATTACCACTATACACAGACTTTTTGGCGTAAAATTCTGTCCTTTTTTAAACAAGTTGAATGTGTACACAGACAATTAAGGAGGTTTTGTGTAGAAATTGTGTACAACTAGTATTTCTCTTCTCCAAATTATGAGGTGCAATCAGATTCTCCAATGCAAGCTTATTTATTTTACATAATTCTGTTAATATTATTTTTTAAACTAATTGTTTTTTATTGTTTGATCTGGTTCTTTAAATCGGGTTTGATTTTGTAAACTAAGATTATTTCGGTGCAATGAATGTGAAAAACACGGGACATGGAATGAGTGATTTATTACAATTATTATAGTAGGTTCACGTGTCGTGGGAATTTGTTCTTGACTAGTAGCCACCAAAATTCAATGAACACATCGTTATATGTTCTCCTAGGCATTAAAAAATCTTGGAGAAACGTAGGATGATTTAACGAATAATAATGTAGTAATATTACTACAATAAGGGATAAACAAAAGTGTGATTGTTTAAATTTTAGTCCTAATTATGTTTAGTTTTACATTAGATACCCAAAGTACCTTGTATCATTGTTTATCTATAAATTCTATTTCAGTATCATTCAAGCAACGATCTTTATTTTAATGAAACTTTGGCTTTATACCTCACTTTTGAGCAAAATTGGACTTTTGGTTCTGTTTTCAAATAATTAGTATAAGCACTCATTAGTTCAAAAGGTTCAAATTAAAATTTGCGAAGGAGTGATGTGTAAGTATTAATTACTTTTAAACCATTGGGGGATCCATATACATATTTATAACGTCGAAGTATCAAATCCAAACTATCCAATTTCCGTAAGAAAAGAGTGTAGAGTCAAGTCCACCTTGTTTATTTTATCAAAAAAATGATGACACTAAAAAAAAAAAAATTCATAGAGGACAAATTTTACATTACTAACTCGATACTCTAAAATAGGTTATAAATAAAGAGCTTTTAGTTCAACGAAAGCATTAATATGTAACTTTTCATTTCAGCCAAAAATTATATTCACATTTTTATCACTTTTATAGCACTAAATATTACTCACTCCGTCCTGCTAAGATTGTCCCAGACACTATTCACTCAGTCAACACAAATCATTCTTAATTTCTTACTTTATATATCAAATTTTTATCAAATTTGATTCTGGTCTTTGCGACTTTGTAAAGTTCTTAATGTAGTTTTTGAATATGTAATTTATTTATTCTAAAAATAATTTGAGTACGGACAGAGATCTGTTTGCTTTATCGACAGTCAAACATCATAAACCAAATTGTCCCAACCATAGTGGGACGGAGGTAGTAATAACATTACTTGTACTTTAGTGAAATTATATTAAAAACAAATAAATTAAACATGGTACAAGTAATGCATGCCATCACAATAATTTAAGTTGCAAATGTACAACAATGTATTTTTTTATATAGTGCAGTCAACAATTATGAATTAAGACAAAAATTATAATATATTGCAAAAATTGTATCAATTGTTTTTCAATGGGAAGATTGTGGTTGTTTGGAACATTCATAAACCGTTAAAATATGGCTAAAGCCAAACACAAATATCCAAATACTTATACAAAAGTATCCAAATACTTATACAAAAGTACAAAACGAACTTATACAACAAGTTGAACATAGCTGTAAGGATTTGAACCCACTACTCTTGACCTGGTATAGAGACTTCACTGGCCCTGCTCTACTGCAAATGTTGATCCGTATACACTATTTATTGTTATACACAAAAAATGGTTTTTGTGTATAAACTATATATTTTGTATAGATATAAATGGGGTTAGGTGGGGTTGAGACGAGACAGCTGCCCTTAGTACCCCACACACGGATATGCCCCTGACCCCATTCTCGAGGGCCCTCCAGCATCGACCGGACAGTCAATCTAGTTGATTTTATCGAATAGTGATTAGATTTATATGGTTTTCGTGATGTATAATTGTATTATATTGTTTTTTGAAATGTTTAGAGGACTGTGATTAAGACGAAGAGCGTGGAGTTCATGCCCTTCTTCTTATCCATGTTTGTTTTCCTATGTGGTACTTCATGGTTCGTCTATGGTCTCCTTGGAAAGGACCCATTCGTCGCGGTGAGTAATCCATTGAATTCGATTAATATTATACATGTGCACATACTACTTAGAGCCTGTTTGGTAATATTAAAATCGGATGAATCGGTTTATTCTGTTGAAATTTATGAAATTATGGCTGAAGTGGCTGGACTGGCTGATTCTGCTGATTTTTAAACAAATTATATTTAGAAAATATTTTATTAATAAAAAAATAAAAAATTATATGTAAAAATAGCTAGAATGGTCCTCCATAGTAACATCAACCAATACAACCAGAAAAGCAACACCAACCACAAAATCAAAATTTACGTGTTTGGTAAAACATTTGGTTGATAAGCTTGGTAAGTCGAAAAACATGCTCACCAAACGGGCTCGTAGTCTACTTATAAGGTTCATTCGATTGCTTCGCTTTTTTAAGTGCCATTTGAATTATGTATTAATAATTAATTTGTGCCTTTTTTAAGAGTAAATAGTCAGTTTGGTCATCGAAGTTGCATAAAAGGGGTCAAATAAGTCCTTATATAGGAGGTTCTATCCGGCCGTCGCCATTTGGGGCGGTTCCCAGTGTAATTTCTTGATCAATTTTTTTGAGCATCTTATTCATTAACTCTAGTTCACTCATACCAAATTTCAGATAAAAATTCAACCGGGAAGGCATTCAAATGAATTCTTGAAGATAACTTTGCAGTTATCTTCAAGAATTCATTTGAATGCCTTCCCAGTTGAATTTTTAGCTGAAATTTGGTATGAGTGAACTAGACTTAATGAATAAGATGCTCAAAAAAAATTATCAAAAAATTCCATCGGGAACCGCCTCAAATGGCACGTCCGGAAAGAATCTTCTATATAAGGACTTATTTGACCCCTTTTACGCAACTTCGAGGACCAAACTGACCCTTTACTCCCTTTTTTAAAATAAGCTTTACAGTTATATATGAACTAATACAGTGTTATACGTAGTATTAAAATTATGGGACATTCTTCTTATCTTTTTAAGATGAAACTCTGAATCTTAACAATATACCTTGAATCTTAACAATATACCTGCAACAATGCAATATTAAACTTTCATTTTAAATTGAGTGCATCTGAAATTGACCAAATAAAACTAAATTAGCCAACATGATTGTAGCTATAATTATAAAGAGGTGGTACAATAATTGCTTAATATTTTTTATAGCAACTTAGAATAATGTCTATCCATTTATATAGAGGCTAGTCCCAAATCCATTACAAGCTCGAAAGTTTGTGAGAAAATACTATATTGTTCAAATTAGAAGTCCAAATGACGTGTTCATTTTATTCAATTTGAGATTGTGAAAATGCATTGTAGTAAGCATGGTTCACTCTTTCACTCATATATGTATATCAAAATTGCATTCTAAATTTAATTGTGTTTTACACCAAAATAAATATCACAACTAAACTACACAATACAAATATACGGCACAAATGTTAAGCAAATGTGATACAAAGAGTATTAACTTTTTAAATCTTTACCCTGCTTAACTTATGTTTTTATGTTTTATATATTACAAATGTGTTGAATTAGTGCAATAGTTTAGAACTTTATGTGTAATACATGCAGGTGCCAAACGGTGTCGGGTCTCTATTGGGGATGGTTCAACTGATCTTGTACGCGATATATCGCGATAACAATGGGAAAGACAAGAAAGCCACTAATGATGCTTCTATCGAAATGGGGGTTGATAATAAACCCAAGGGTCAAAATGGAATTGCATGAGTTTTGAGCTTTTCCTTTAGGTTTCTTTGACGACCCATGGCCGCATGCAAGAAGCGACCTAGTCAACCAACAAAAAGAAAAAGACAAACCAAATGCAAAAATAGTTGTTTTCTAAATTTTCGTCATTGTAATATTTGCAGAATTTGAAGTATATGACTATTAATTTTTAGTTAGTTTATTCTTATTTGTATATGTTATGTTCCCATTCTAACAAGTAGTCTCAATCCTACTTGTGTTTATGTTTTTGGAATTGTGTGAAGTGAAAGTTTTATGGATGGAGTGAGTGAAAATTTCTTTGATAAAATAATACAGAGAAAACATTCAAATAGGCCCTCGTACTTGCCAGAAGTAGCCTTTGCACATTGCCAGAACAATTTCTTGAGCACCAATCCTCTATGATTTTTGGCCCAGTTGGCATGTATATGTCTAACACAATTCCTGTGCTCAGCTCCTAAGAGTATATTTGCAATAACATTTGCCAGTCCCTATAGCAATTCAAAATTTGTGAATACATATTACACAATAAAAGTACACAATCATGCATTATAATTTCGTACAACAAAACTTACAGTTGACCACTTATAATGGTCCATTCACCCGGGTTGTTGATCTGCAGGTCTTCCCTCAGAAGGTTTAAAAACCAACTCCATGATGAATTATTTTCTATCTCTACTACTGCCCAAGCAATGGGGTACATTTGATTATTCGCATCTCTTCCTATAGCACTTAAAATCTCCCCCTTCAACTGTCCTTTTAGAAAGCAACCATCCAAACCAATAACCTTCCTACACCCTTCCAAAAAAAACCTTCTTTACTCGTCCAAAACACATATAAATCCGTTGAAATACCATTGGAGCATCAGGGACTACTCTGTCAGTTTTAATCACAATTGTACTACCAGGAATTGATCTCAACACTTCCTCTCCATAATTTCCGATTCTCCTGAACTGGTCCTTAAAAGTATATTGTGTTTTGTCTTGCATTATTTTTAAAGATCTTGAAGCCATACTAATGGACACACTCAGTTTATGTTCATCCTTAAGCAAGTTATTATGCTCTGCAACAATCATAGAGGGTTTTTCTGCCAACTTTTCCTCATTGGTATCAGCTATCCCATTCTGACTAACTATTCTAAGCTTGAATTTGAGGTTACATAGATGGTCGGGATTCCAAACTTTTAATTGAAAGCATTTTAATCTGTCTTCCCATGAAGCAGTACTTGCAAAGGGGCAATTTATGGCACACTTTAGTCTGACTCTCAATGACTCATTCTTAACAAACACTATATCTCTCTTATTATACACAACATACCTGACCATAACACTTAAATTGCTTACCATCCTCAAACAACATCCTCACCTTAAAATGGGGAGGATCAGACTCTGGGTTATAGGAACCATTCCCATAACCTGGCCTTTTGGACTTATGTTCTTCTTCCTCATCTGAATAATGCAAGCTAGATGGGTTAGATGAGTCATATTCAGTAGTCTCTTCCTCATTATCAATTTCAAGCTCATGCTGAGGAGTGTGTGTATCTTCCATTGCTTGAACATTATCATCTGACATAGGTGTGGAATTATTGTTCACAACTTCCACATCATGTAGCACCTCTTCTTCTTCTTCATCCTCCTTGTCTGCTCCAGTAGTATATTCTCATTATGATTCTGAACCCCATGCTGATGACTTAGTATATGTTCCATTCCTTGAGCATTCTCTATCATTGGTGTGGGATTATTGTTCAGAACTACCACATCATGTAACACTGCTTCAGAATTCCAAGTTTTATGTACTTCCTTGACTTCACTTTCATCACCTGGGGCATCACTGCCAACATCTATATCATCATTAACTTCATCCTCATCACCATTTGGTTCATGATCATCACATTCTAGCTCACCTACATCCTGTGTTGTAGCATTTGGTTCATGATCATCTTCTTGGGTGTGTAGTTCATCCTATGCATGGTCTACATATATCTCACTTTCCACAAATTCTTGCTAATTCTATGAGCTTTAATGCAGTCTAATCATCAAACAGCTCATGTAAGGAGTTCATATTGTCACTTGGTGTTTTGAAGTATATACCTCTAATGGAGACATTGCTTTGACCTTCTAAGAACTTTTTCAAGTGGGGATAGCTTATGACATAGCAGGTACACAATCAACTACACCTCCAACATACATCTTATGAGCATCACAACTGAATTCCCCCATGGTGCACTAGTAGTTCTACTGTCTCAAACATTTTACAAATATAACAAGAGAAAATCATCATTTAACTTAAAACCAAAGCACATTATTTTAACTTCAAACTGTAATTCATGTCACTAACACATACATAAAACAAAGCACATTATTTGAGCTACAGAATTTAGCCTTCCAAAAACACATAGTAAGTCAGTTGTTTCAAAGGGTCAGCTTTAGGGTACTATCATGATAAGATGGGCCAACATTACTCACAACACACATCATAAGTCAGTTTAATCAAAGCGTCAAATTAAATGTTTCAAACATGAACATCTATACACAAAATATAAAGTGCAGAAGTAATATGAAAGCATAATTAAACCAAAAATCAAAATATAAACTGTAAACACTTCAAAAGGGAAACTACAAGAACTTACCTTTCAGGGCTTCCTACCACTTCGACTGAGCTCCCGCCTTCCAAGAATGTTCCTTACAACACTTCGCACCACTTCGATTGAACTACCGCATTCTAACTAACTCCTCTAAGCATTCTTATTTGTTCGTTATTTTCTGAATACGAGGAATGCTAGGTCTGAGGCTTTTGTGATTTTGTTCAATCGAAGGAGAATGTTAGTAAGTTAGTTTTAAAAGTGGGTTAGCCACGTCAACTTAAGTGCCGGGTTAGGGGGTGAGTTAGTGAGTTACACGTGGGACTCCAGCTTAGCGTGTAACAGGCTAACCGGCATTCCACCGGCTAAAAAGCCTGATTGGGTAGTTTTGGTTAGTTCAGGGACTCCGTTGGGTGATTAATAAGTGCGAGGGCTTAATTGAGAAATTGGTTAAAGTACGAGGGCCTATTTGAGAGTTTTCTCAACAATATATTATCAGGAAGCAAATTATGAATCTAGATATGAATCATGAGTGAAGAACACATTTTTGTTCTAAATTTCAAGAACAAAACTATCAAACTAATAAGATAATGTTTTATTCTGTATAAAAGACTTGTTTAATTCTAGGGGAAAATAATTAAAAATACCTTAAACGTTTCATAAGTGTGAAACCTCACTCAAAACTTGTCCACATTGTATAAATATCTCCCACTTTTTAAAATATACCCCGTGGCCTACTAACTCATCCAAGAGAGCATCCATATTACATTTTTTCCACGCAAACAATTGCTCTCTATTTGACGAACAATTTTAAAAGGCACTGACGTGCACTTTGTCGTGTGTGCACTCAAAATAAATACAATACAACACTAATACGTAGCATAGTGTAGTAAGGTTCGTATCCACAGGGAAAAGAACATTTCTCTTTTTATAAAACTAGAAATAAGTAACAAGGGGGGTTTTATGATTGGTTTATGAACTTAAATTATGTTTAAACACAAAGATGAACGAGTTATGTGGTTTACTTTAAAAGAGATGGAGGCTTGGTTTTGCTTTTATCCACTTAATGAAATGTTCGTCGACCCCAGTTATATCTTTAACTATCTTCCTCTTGAATACTTGATAAGTCTGTATTTAGACATGCATTTGATGCGTGTTGAGATTAGCTTTTGATGGTTTTCCCAGCTTTAAGGTGTTGCAAGTCTCAATTTTAGCCCAAGTTATGTTTACCGGACGTTGGTCCGAGTTTTGTGTTGTTTGTAGTCAAAATCAGGGAATTTGAGCCCGGTACCTGCACTTGAGGAACAATCAGGATGATTTTAGAAGCATTTGAGAATGATTTGATAGCTTTGGAGGTCACCGGAAGATTCACGATGAAGATTTGAAGGTAAAAGAGCTCTAGGATTGGCTACGGGGTCAAAAGAAGATGAATGAAGCTTGAAAACGACGATCAGGACGACCTTCTGTCAATCGTTCAAGCATATCTCTTTGTAGAAACATCCAATGTACACTATTCAAGTTCCATATGAAAGCTAACTTCATGTTCTACAAATGATATGAAGACACCTTTGCGAGAATCGGAGAGGAAGAAGGTGAAAACAGACGATGAAGTCAGATGATCTTTGCTGCGATTTCAGAAAGACATCTTCCACCGTTTTGATCATATCTCTTGATTGAATGATTCAAATCACATTCGGCAAATTGGGGTGGATAGAGGACTTCATTATCTACAACTTTTATGAAGGAAGTTTTGTCAAATTCGGAAGTTAAGTAGGCACGATCGTGCCCTCAAAGTCAGACACGATCGTGCCTGAAGAGAAAACCACCACGAAGTTACTGCCTGCCAGGCACGATCGTGCCTGCCCAAAATGCGCGTTTTTGCTCCGGAGGCACGATCGAAGGCACGGTCGTGCCTGACATCGTGTCTGGCTCCGAAAATCCTAATTCAGCTCAAATTTCACCCGATTTTTCTATTTAAACAGCCTGTAAACCCCCGTTTTAAAGGGGGGAGCTTAGAGAAAGTGCCTAGCACGAATTTTAGAGGGATTTTCAGCCTTGTTCATCAATCTTTTGGGATTCTTTGTAAGTTCCACCTTTTTAATTAATGACAATTAATTCTTTTTATTCCAATTCTATTGATTCTTCAATTATGAATTGTGAGTAGTTTTAATTAGGGATTTGGGATTGATGAAGGGGTTAATCATGATGTATGGCTAGATTCTTTTCGGTTTAATTGCATGAATGCCGTTTAACTTGTGTTTGAATAATTTAATTGATATCTTTTGTAACCTAGAATCGCGACTAGAATTACAATTGCATGTAGAATAAATTAAAAGAGATCTAATTTGTTCTAGTACACATTCACACACACTTAATCGTTCGCTAAGAGATTAGTAGCGATTAAGGGGTCGTAAGCTCGCTCGTCCTGGCAATAATTTAGGATCCTGTCGCATGAGAGATCAGCCTGGTCCCCTAAATTATTGTACTCTACGCCGCGAGAGCGGTAAGAACTTAGTAATGATTAGCTAGGCTTAATTAAATTAATTTCATGTAATTAGGCCTGATCTGCCAGAAATCTGGTGACCCCGGAATCGATCCTTGTTCCCTTCGTCATTAATTAGAAAGAACCCCCTAGTTTAATTGTTCGCATTAGTTTTATTTTCCAAACCAACCAATCTCGCACAACGCTTTTATTTTATTTTCTTTTTAATCGCTGAATTTAATTAATTCTTGATTCCCTTTTGTCCGTCCCTGTGGAGACGATACTCGTACTTACACCACTATATTACGATGTATTTTA